TAACTTAAATTCAACGCAAATTGGTTTTAATAATTGTAGAAACCAAAACTGGTGACCCCGACGAAAAAGTTTCCCGATTAACCAGACATTTAGTTGAATAATCACGCCACCTTACTGCAAACGCCAAGCACGTGGTTCCGGCGTTTGAGGTTATATAACCATGCCGAATACAACGACGGACAGTGGTTTATCAGCCAACACTGGTACGCCACCACCAGCGGCAGACACGGTTGCCGTAGTTTACGCCAGGTTACCGGTACCCACCATGTCCAGTACCAATATCGAAGCATGGTTTACAACGATGGACTTTTGGTTCACGGCATCCGGAATTACCACCGACAAACAAAAAACAGCTACAGTCTTGGCAGCGCTGGACCCAGCCGTTATCGCTAAGCTCAGTGATGTTATTGCCTCACTACCACAAACCGATCGTTTCGACTATGTAAAGCGAAAACTAATAGAGCACTTTGCCGACAGCGAGCAACGACGACTCAACCGATTATTATCAGAACTACCATTAGGGGACAAAAAGCCGTCCGAATTATACTACGAGATGAGGCAAGTTGCAGGTAGTACCCTGGGGGAAGCGGCACTAAAAGGTCTCTGGACGAAACGCCTACCCGAATTTGCCCAACCTGTCGTTGCTGCAACGTCAGGACCAGCCACAGAATTCACGCGAATTGCCGATTCTATTATAGATGCCGTAGCGCCAGGTCAAGTTAACAGAATCAAAGCTGAACAACCAAACGAGTTAACTGAACTGCGCGCTGCTGTCAGGGAATTAAACAACAAGTTCGAAAAATTCACAGTTCGCTCAAGCTCACGTAATCGCAGGCGCTCCAATTCTCGCCGATACTCGCGCAGCCGCGATCATTCTCACGTCGCTGGCACTTCGCACACAACTTCTGCTGAGTGCTGGTACCACCAAAGGTATGGCGGTAACGCTCGGAAATGCAGAAGCCCTTGCCGACGTAAGAATCGAACGGCAGCTACTCCCGCAGCCAATTCGTCAACTAATTGACTATATTCCCTCGCCTCGGATAACGCCATCAACCATACAGAAGTTACTAAAATATACCGACTGCAAGTGCTAGACAAAAAGTCAAAACAAAATTTTTTAATCGACACAGGTGCGGATGTGTCCGTACTCCCGCTCACCGCTAAGACTTATGATGTTAGACCTACAGCAACAACTTTATACGCAGCAAATGGTTCCCCTATTAAAGTCGTCGGAGAAAAGCGGATAAATGTAGACCTCGGACTACGTCGCAATTTCCATTGGTCCTTCGTAATTGCCGACGTCACATCACCAATAATCGGCGCAGATTTTATCCGTTTCTATGATTTGCTTGTTGACTTACGTAGGAACCGAATCATCGACAACGTAACACAACTGCGCGCACCACTCATAGCTCTTACAACGCAGGAGGCAATTGAGATCAAGACTTTCGACTCGCGTGATCCATTTTCTGCTTTGTTAGCCGAATTCTCGGATATTACTAAACTATCGCCGCAGAGGTCTACAGCGAAGTGTACTATTACGCACCAAATAAGAACAACAGGTCAACCTGTGTCTTCCCGACGTCTACCTCCCGACAAGTTGGAAGCTGCGCGAAGCGAATTCGAATTCTTAATGACAGCAGGCATCTGTCGACCATCCAGCAGCTCCTGGGCAAGTCCATTGCACCTGGTAAAAAAGAGCAATGGAACGTGGAGACCATGTGGCGACTACCGTGCCCTAAATGCCCAAACGCTTCCCGACAGATACCCGCTTCCGTACTTAACAGACTTCACTGCAAATCTACGAGGTAAGACTATTTTTTCAAAAATTGATCTCCAAAGGGCATTCCACCAGGTGCCCATACAGGAAGACGACATCGCAAAAACCGCAATCACGACCCCGTTCGGTTTATATGAATTTAAATTCATGACGTTCGGGCTTTGCAACGCCGCCCAAACTTTTCAGAGGCTAATCGACGAAACATTACGCGGGTTAGATTTTGTCTTCCCGTACGTCGATGACATTTGCGTCGCCTCTAAGTCAATAGAACAGCACCGTCGTGATGTGAGAACAGTTTTCCAACGTCTACGTGATTTTAATCTGGCAATCAATCCATCGAAATGCGAATTCGGAAAAAACGAATTAAAATTCTTAGGCCATCTGGTCGACGCTCGTGGAATACACCCATTGCCCGAAAAAGTTGATGCGATTCGCAACTTCGACAAGCCTACAATTGCAAAAGAACTTAAACGTTTCCTAGCAATGGTTAATTTGTATCGCAAATTTTTGCCAAATGCAATGTCTTACCAAACGTGCCTCCAACAACTCATCGTCGGCAACAAAAAGAATGACCGCACACCAATAACGTGGAACGCTGAAGCAGAGAATGCATTCGAACAGTGCAAAGATGAACTAACGAATGCAACGCTTCTCGCACACCCCGATTCCAGCGCGGAATTAGCCCTATTTGTTGACGCATCGGATACAGCCGTTGGCGCCGCACTTCACCAACACGTCGATGGGAAATTGCAACCGCTCGGGTTCTACTCGAAAAAATTGAGCAACGCCCAACGGTCTTACAGCACCTACGACCGCGAGCTGGCTGCTATATACCAAGGCGTTTGCCACTTCCGCCACATGATCGAGGGACGTAAATGCTACATCGTGACTGACCATCGACCTTTGATCTACGCATTCAAACAAAAACCCGAAAAAGCTTCGCCCCGTCGTCTTCGCCAGTTGGATTTCGTAAGTCAGTTCTCCACCGATATTCGCTACATTCCCGGCAGAGAAAACGTCACAGCCGACCTACTATCGCGTTTGCAGACTATCGACAAGATTATCGACTACAACGAAATTGCCATTTCGCAGCAAAACGACGCACACCTGCAAAACATACTTAACAAAACAGGTACGAAAAAGAGCTCGCTTAATTTAAAAACGTTTCCTATTCCCAACAGCACTCAACAGTTGTTTTGCGATACCTCAACAACAACAGTCCGCCCGTATATCCCGAAGGAATTTCGCGAAAGCCTTCTTCGAAAAGTCCATGGCTTATCACACCCAGGTGTTCGCTCGACCGTGAAACTAATGACACAAAAATTTGTATGGCCGAATATTAAAAAAGATACCGCAACATTCGTCCGTAATTGCCTATACTGCCAACGCGCTAAAATACAGCGACATACCAAGTCTAAACCTGCAATGTACGAGCCTCCAAAAGAGCGTTTCCGCCACATCAACATAGATATCGTTGGTCCATTTCCACCATGTGAAGGACAACGATACTGTTTGACTATGATTGACAGGTATACTCGATGGCCAGAGGCAGCGCCGATGCCAGACATGTCTGCCGAATCTGTCTCGAAAGCATTACTCTCGCACTGGATAGCTCGTTTCGGAGTTCCAGAGCGAATAACTTCGGACCAAGGAAGGCAGTTTGATTCCGCCGTTTTCGCCGAATTAATGACCCTTCTTGGTACAAACCACTTACGAACAACTCCGTACCACCCGCAATCAAATGGAATAATTGAACGGTGGCACAGAAGCTTCAAGACAGCGATTTTATGCCACGATCCAGCCAAGTGGGTACACAACCTACCGACAATACTTCTTGGTCTACGCGTTGCATTCAAACCGGACATTAATACCTGCCCTGCCTTACTCGTTTACGGAACAACATTACGTATTCCCGGCGAATTCTTAGAAGAAACAAAAAGTAAGAAAGTTACTACCGACACTATATCGCATTTTCAGTCAACAATGATGAAGCTACAGCCTACGCAAACAAAACACCATTCCACTTCGAAGGTTTTCGTATCGCCAGCGTTGCAATCAGCCACACACGTATTCCTGCGCAACGACTCGATTCGTCCTTCGCTTACTCGACCCTACGACGGACCGTTCCTTGTGGTCAAGAAATCGCCGAAGTACTTTAAGATTATAGTAAGAGGTCGCCCAACCAACGTAAGCATAGATCGGCTCAAACCAGCTTTTATAGCAAGCGACGAATCCAGCGATATATCTAACACTCCACAAGAGGAAGAAGAGCCGCACGTTACGATGAAACCTACTCGCAGTGGTAGACGAATTAACATACCCTTTCGGTACCGATAGTTCCATCTGGCAGGGGAGTACTGTGGCACCCTGTTCTACTCCTTTCTAACATCCCATGTAAATTTGTA